AGATGCACTGAAATGTTGCCAATAGAGCAAACATTCAAATGTTTCATGAACGTTGAAATGGCTGATATAATTATGCGCCACACAAATAAGTTAGCAAAAGAAACTTATAATGCTTACAACAATGCGCATCCAAACATAACTCCTAAGTCATGGACGCCTGTGTCAATAACAGAGCTGTATGCATTTTTTGGCATACTTATTATGACTGGTGCGAACCATAGCAATGGAGAACATGTTCGAGATTTATGGAGCGTCAAAAACTATCCTTTATATCGCGCCACAATGGGAGTCAACCGTTTCTGTTCGATATTGCGGTTCCTAAGATTTGACGATAAAAACACTCGTGCAACACGCTTACTAACTGATAAAGCAGCACCGATCAGTGAGTTGTGGACGATGATGAACAATAATCTTGCTGCACATTACAAGCCCAGCTCATGCTTGACGATTGATGAACAATTATTTCCTTACCGTGGACGCACACGGTTTACGCAGTACATACCGTCAAAACCTGCTAAATATGGTATCAAGGTTTGGTGGATTTGCGATGCCACAAATGCATATCCACTGCATGGACAAATATATACTGGCCAAGCAGAAACTGGTAGGGAAACGAACCAAGGCGAACGAGTGGTGAAGGATTTGTCTGCCAAATACCAAGGAAGTGGCCGAAACATTACAATGGACAATTTGTTTACGACCTTGCCAGTTGCAGAACTGCTTCTCACCTGGAAACTCACGATCGTTGGAACTTTGCGCAAAAACAAATCATATATTCCTCAAGAAATGAAGCAGAACAAAAACAGGACAATTGGTTCAACGACATTTGGCTTCAAAAATAATGTGACAATGTGCTCTTATGTTCCCAAAAAAAATAAAGCTGTAATTTTGCTTTCGACCATGCATAATTATGCTGAAATAGCTGACAGTGGGAAACCTGAAATAATTGAATATTATAATCGTACCAAAGGTGGTGTTGATCGAATGGACCAAATGTTTGCGGAATATCCAACACAAAGACAAACAAAACGATGGCCACTAGCGATGTTCTTCAACATGTTGGACATTACAGCTCTTGCAGCCTACATTGTCTACGATTTGAATAACCCTATGTTGCCTTGGAGAACAAACAACAAGCGTAAGCAGATCCTGCGCAGCTTGGCTGAAGCATTGTGTATGCCCATTATTGAAGCCAGAGCCATAAATCGTCAAGTGGCGCGAAATTTTTCGACTAAAATTGCTATTGAAGCATATTTCAACCGACCGGTGGAATCAATGGTGTCAACAGCAGCATCAACATCTGCCGCAGCGCGCACGCCAAAACCTGTGTCCGGATCTTGCTATTTATGTTACGCACAAGAGGAAAAACGCCGTAGAAAAACCAGAAAGCTGTGCGACAAATGTAAGAAGCCAATGTGTCTTGAACATTCGGTCACATCAACAAATTGCTCTATTTGCCATGATTTTCCTTAGATATAAGATGCATTTTTATAATTTTTATAATAAAAGTCAATAATATAATGTGTGAAATGAATATTTTTAATTTTTCAAATAAAAAAATAATATAAAAAATGTTTTTTTTTTTTATTATTATGAGGATTTTTACTATTGGGGTACAAACGTATCCCGGGTGTGTGTTTACGTATATAATGTGTTTGGAAGGCTGTAGCTCCTGAACCAATGGTCCGATCTGGTTCAAATTTTGAATTTGAAATCAAAACTAAATAATCTTCCTAGATCCGGTATAGAGGTATAGCGGTTCAAAAGTTACAACACTTCAAAGTTGAAAGTGGATAGATTTGTACCCGGGTGTGTGTTCTAGGGTTAAATGCAATTTATCAAAACCACGACTACAGATTTTGTCTGAGAATGCTTCTAGTTCACGAATTTCTTAAATTATCTTTGTTTTAGTTCAGTGTTAACCATTTATGAGGTTTGGAGGATTTTCTTTAATAGCATTTTTTATTATGCGACATTTGTCACCAATTTTGACTGTGACTGCACTGTGACTGATATACGCCAAAAAGGGATACAATCTTTCACTAAATTAACAATACTTTTTACTCAATCAGCCTTATCGTGAGTTAACCATGAACCGCCTGTAGTGAATACACGGATTCGAAAAGTGACCCGATTCGGGAAAATAAAACTCGTGATAGGGCTGAATATCTCGGAAATTAAAGAAGATTTTCAAAAACAGATGACGCTATTTGAAGGATCTTAATTAGTTTAGTACGACTGCGTTCTTAACTTAATTTGTACCAATCTACCAAAAAAATGTTAGCCAATAACTCGGAAACTAAAGGAGATATCCAAAAACTGTTAACAAAAATGGCACTTACGACAATTTTTCTTCCAAGCGACGATATTTGAATGTTACTCGCATAATTTTGAACCTGTGTGCAAATTTTCGGGAAAAAAGTTAAGAAGTATATTCATATGCTGAAGAGATATGTTCGCAGATTTACAATTTATTTAAAGTATATCTATCAGCCTTATCGCCAATTCCATGTAAATAAATCGCTCATATAACTTAATTTGTGCATTTAATATATTTCACAATTAACTTAAATACTAATTTACAAATATTTGTGCAACCAATTCGACATAGTAAATAAAAAAAATTGGTATTAATAAAATAAGTGCTTAATACATTTATTTTTCAGTTAAACATGAGATGTTCAAGCGCACTGCAATATTAGCCCTGTTCGCGTACGCACTATCCAGTAAATCCAGTACTAATTTTACGTACGCAAAAACTTTCAAGAAACTAGCAAAAGAGGGGAAATTGAGAGAGCAAAAATGACAGCTGAACTTGCAAGTTTTACTGGATTTTTACTGGATAAATTTTTACTAGCAACTATTTGCTAGTAAGAAAAACAGCTGATGGCATGATGCTTATTGTAAATCACATTAAGAAAATAATTGTTTGTGTTGCTTTTAGAGCTGCAATTGACAAAATAAACCTATTTAAATATATAATAAGATGGAAAAAATTAGTTTTCGAAGCAAATTGCATCGGAAATTAACAAATTAATCAGCTGTTCATAAAACTAGCAACTTCTTGCTGGTTTTGCGTTTTCGTACTTACTTGCATATTTCACTCATTGGGAGTAAATATTGGCTTACTCTCCGAAATTTGGTTACTGGCAAGTTACTGGATATTTTTTGCTGGCGAATACGAAAACACAACTATAATTGCCGAAAAACCGTTGCCGTAGCTCTGTCTATTTACTGGATATACTGAGTGAAAAACTGATTAAGTTGCCAAATTTATTCTTTATTTTGATTAACTAGCATTTCCAATGACCTTTGATTATTTAAACAAATAAAGATGGAAAGATTTTATAGATATATACGATTTTATAGCCAACTAAATTAAAATTTTTAGAGTGCTGAAAACTTTTCGCTGTATCTCTTTTATTAACAACATAAGTTCATTCATATGCCAGCTGTTCGGTAGTTTCACCAGTGGAGTCCATTCCCTGTAGGGAAAATCCCTAGTTCTGAACTGGTGCGCTTCTAGTACATTTAGACCCAGTACTGGTTCGCGATAAATCTCTTTTGCATGCAAGCAACTGGCGAATTTAACATGGCGATGTCCTAGGAAGTGTCAATTGCCCCCCCGCTGCATCCCTTTTTCGTAAGTTCCGAACTAGTCCGAAATTCTATAGTTCCGAACCAGTTCTAAAATCGACAGACGAAAGAAAAAAGTATCATGATTTTTTCAATCTTTTTGGTTCTTCCGTGTGTGCGATTTTAAATTGTTTTGGATGAAATATGTTTTCAATTTGAAATTAAATTTGTTTGAATGATTGTAAGAAATGTACGTTTACATACCTTTAGCTGTAGCTGAGTTTGCAGAGGTGCTCGCTGTTATTTCTTAGATTCCAGACTGTCCCAAGATGTTGCAATGTTAACACAAATTTTAGTTTTGTATTACCAAGCTATGAAAAAGCATCTTCGAAGCACCGAATAGAAGCGTATTTGAACGAAAAAGCCGCCGAACACATATCTATGTAAAGTAAACAAGCCACCCGCTGCATTCCTTATTCGAAAGTTCCAAACTTGTTCTAAATTCGACAAATAAGATCTAGTTCGTTCTGCATCCCTTTTTCTATAGTTCCGAACCATTTCTAAATTCGTCACTTTAGATATCGATTTCTAGTGAAAAAAACTGAAAAAATTAGTATTTTAAAAGCACCACTTTTCGCCGATTTTGGTCTGGTGGGGATCTAGTTCGTATCGGACTAGTTCCTTTTTGGCTATAAAGACCTAGTACGGAACTAGAAATTTGATTCACTAGTCCGCGGTTTCCCTACAGGGTCGATGACGGAATTTGATGCTCCAATTGCGTAAAAATTAGCACTTGGTTTCCCGGATTAATGGCTGTAATAATCTGTAATCGTATGGCAAAGCCCTCATCTTCCTTATATTTTTTCACTTTTTGGGTAGCATCTTCAATTTCGGTATTTAAAATAGAATTGAACACTTTTGCTGCTTGTCTTTTAAGGCCTTTATTCTACTTTCTCTTCGTTATTTTAATTTCACTTCACTATCACTCAATGCGTTCAAAATTTTTTTTACCTTTTCCTCTTTAGGAAACAGTTGCGAGTTCGTTAAGCCAGAGCGAAAGACTTTCGACTTTATTCAGAATAAGTTTGGCAGTTTTAAATCGATTCTAAATATTTTATCACTTCATTATTAAATTGCAAAAAAATATATCCCCAGAGTTATCAGTCTCCAAAGCTTAGCTCGAGATAAGCCTCTTATGCAAAGTAAAGCGTAGGTAAAAGATTTCCCAATTGAAGATAGACGACTAATAAAAATGTAAATGCTTATCATACCAGGGCTTCAACTCTACGTTACCTTCGCAACTGCGAATTTCAATGCTTTACGTAGTATATTTTCGTAATCTTTACAATTGGCTACACACACATTTGCATACATGCATACATACCGGTCAAACATAATTAGTACCAACATTAAATTTTTTGCAGATTCAAGTCGTAAATGGAGTAATTTTGATATCCTGGCGCCAGTCGGTTCTGCAAAAGCAAATTGATTATGGCGCGAAATTAGGTCATGTCGTACTCTCCTTAGCCAAAATGGAATTAGAAAATTTCTTTAAAAATGTGATGCCTGTTGCAGATTACTTCGATCAAAGTGATATGCTAATAGCTGTAAGTATTGACTGGCAGATATGTGTACCGAATGGAAATTGATAAGCCGAATACTGCAATAAATTCTAGCAAACATATTAAAACACATAGTTTGCGAAACAAAGTACTTCGGCTTGCGATTTTCGAGCCGTTACGTGTAATCATTACTGACATTTCGAGGTTATATTGTTCCACTTCTTCCAGGTGAATGGTGAGCGTGCACCTGCCGAAGTATACAAGGACTTTCGCACTGCTGTACTCGACATATTGAGCACGCTTGAAAATGAAGAGGCCATGCTAAATGGAGTTACAGGTATGGGCAGAGGGATAAATGATATACCCGGCAGTATTGTTAGCGTAGACACCGCACCTAGTCAAGCCGCGAATATTACAGACATTTCGAATGCCAACGCAAACAAAACTGTCTTTTCTGCTGCCAACACCAACCACGACAACAATAGAAACTTCTATAATAACAATGGGGGCGATCCGAGCGTAGCGAATGCTGTGGGCGCACACATTGTATCGAGTGCCATTGCTGCTGCCGCGACTGCAGGAATGAAAGATGCCGAAGTCATCACCATACAGACCGAACCGGTGGCCACCAATAACGCTGCAACAAGCATGGACCTCAAGATGGACAATATACCATCAGTTATTTGGATTATCGGTGGACCAGGTAGCAATAAGGCAACACTTTGTATGAAGGCTGTAAGCTTGAATCCTGGTTGGGGACACATAAGGTGAGGCCAAGCGATGTTGAGTGCTTAGGAAATACAGTTTTACATGTTTATACTTTTTGATAGCATGGGACGATTATTGCGCACCATAACCGATTCGGCCCCACGTGCCAACACAGAGAACTATACTGTCAAAGAAGCGCTATCGGCTGGTGAAATGGTGCCGGAGAAGGCGATTAGCAACATTCTCGAAGCGAATATTCGACAAATGTTGGATCGCAAGGGCATACTCATCGACGGTTATCCGCGAAATTTGCAACAAGTCAAACATTTTGAAAACAAGGTGGGTAAAAGGAAGATAAGGATGCATCCAAATATTGCTACAATCTTGCAAATTTTTTTATCAAGAATGATAGAATACAAAATTGCGCATTCCCGGCGGCGATGATATCTCTCAAGTAGAAATAAACAAAGCCGCCATCATAAGACCTATATTAAACTACGGCGCACTAGTCTGATGGCCGGTATTAAGCAAATATGTAGTATTATGTAAATAAACTAGGTAGCTTACAAAGAGCAGTGAGGGCAGGAATAACGGGCACACTTAGGTCCTGCCTGAGAGTAGCGTTAAAAACAATCTTACTCTTGATCCCTAATGATCTCAACCTATGGGGAACACGCCAATTCCGACACGGGATGATTATCAACGAAATACAATCACGATAAAAGACCGACTATATAGTATCTAACCTCCTTCAAAAACATGCAAGTGACAACCCCATCCTGAAGAGAGTAAAAGAGGGGCACAGTGGCTGATAGAGAAGTAATCTCTCTCTACACCGACGGATCAAAGATGAACTGCAGTGTGTGGGCAGTTGTATACTCCGAGGAACTCGGCGTCTCCCTTATCTCCATCTGGGGAATGGGCCAAGCATCTTCCAAACGGAAGTCTTAGGCATGCTTGAAGCTTGTATGATTGTAGGAGAAGGCATCGGCAGAAATAAGTAAGCAACAATATGCTCTGACAGCCAAGCAGCTCTGTGAGCACTAGCATAACCGATCACCAAATCCCAGATAGTCCAGAAGTGTAAAACGGAATTATGCACAGTGTCTGCGTCAATAAGCGTCTTTATTGTCTGTGTGTGAACATTGAAAGTAATGAGAAAGCCGATGAATTGGCGAAGGCGAGAGCCTACTTGGAAGTATCCGAGGGTGTTGCACTGTGATGCCCTCTCGGTTTGCTTTTTCTTGGAGAAGAAGGTGGTCGGACATTCTGAGCTAGGGAACCCTGGCCTGACTATAACAGGACTTCTAGACCTGCTTAACAGACCACTACAGGCCACTGGGCCATAGGTAAACGTGCAGAGAGAATTGGATTCTCATATGTAGAGCTTGCCGCGGCTGGACTGGCAATAAGAAGGTGGACGGACATAACAGGACGAATACACTAGACCTGCTTAATAGACCACTACGGGCCACTGGGCAAACATGCAGAGAGAATGGGGCTCCGAATATAGAGCTTGTCGCAGCTGTGAAATGGAGGCTACCCTCCTCAGCATCTACTTTGTGAATACCGATTTTAGGCTTAAAGCACTAGGAAGACACATACAAACAAAACTAGCAGCTATATCAGGAACTACTATATGTGAAACCGGGGAGTGCATTAAAATGGAGCAAAACGCGCTTATTGTATAGTAGTAGTACTAGGGATGGGTACATTCGATATTCGAAGCTTCGATATTCGATTTTTAATCGAATTTTAGTTCCAAAATGACGAATTTTTGAAATCGAACATTGTGTTGCTAAAATTCAGATAAAATCGAATTTTTCTAGAAAAAATCGAGTTTCATCATTTTTTGTAAAAAACTAGTTTTTTTGTTGATTTTTTATTTTAAATGTTTAGAGGCTTTTACGTTGGTGGCATGAATCTTTTGCCTGAGAAGTCCCCTAGTAAAATTTTCCGGAGAATAATTTTCTAGAACATATCAATCCTCGAATGACCTTCCAAATTTGCTTTTTGCGGGATTTCTTGAAGTAAGGGTCAAAATGACCCTTTTAGGCGGGAGTTAATGGGTTCAAATGTTCTACAAAAATATTTCCCATGAAATTTTATTATATATGTCTTAACCTTTAATTTCGCTCAGACATTTATTTTAACTATTTCTTAGACTTTTTTGAAAACTACTTAGGCTGAGACATGAAAACTTTAGTAGGCCATGAAACAAAATACGAGCTATCTTTTGCAAATCCACCGAGTTTATTATTACTGGATGGGTATACTTTCAGAAAATGTTACCAAAGTCCGGGCTGGTTTCGGCTGTCCCACAGTGTAATTTGAGTTTAACTTTTTAGACAAGTGGCCACTCTCTTTAAGCACCTCAAAAATATTTTAATTGTTGCATAGTATTTTAAGCACAACACTTCTTTAACTAAATTCGCCTTTTAAAACAGGTAGCACCCCTCCTGAATATAATTAAAAATAAAGTATCGATTGATACCCATATTGGGGTAATTTATTGAACTTATTAAATAATTTGATTTTGATTTTCTTACATATGGCACAAAACTAAAACTATATTACGCATCCACAGGGCATGCCCTTTCATTTGATACCTACCTCCTTTTTGAAAGTCGAACGAACGATACAAATTTTGTGACTTGGTTTACATATTTAACGCAAATATCTGCGTAAGCGATTATTTCAATTTGATTTTCTAACCTTTTCATAGGCCCAAAGGACAAGTCTTTAATTTGACACCAAATTTTTTTAAATTGAACGAATGATACAGATTTTATGACTTGGTGTTCAATAATTAACGCAAACATCTCCGAACTCGATTAAGAAGTTTCAATTAAAAAAATTGTTGAAAATTCGAAAAAATTCGAATTAAATCGAATTTGCACCACCAAATTTCGAATCGATTAATCGAATTGTTGGGCAATGTTTGAAGTTCGGAAAAAATTGAATTTCAACCACCAACTACCCATCCCTAAGTAGTACTATAAAGCAGGGTTGTTGCGAATATTCGCATTCGCATTCGCAACCGCGGAGCTTCCGCATTAATTTTAACATTCGCATTCGCAAAAGATCGGCATTGATTTTGAAGGAAAATTACAGATATTTGTTTTACGAGTTAAACTTGGCCAAATATTTTTTATTCTGAAATAAAAGTACTTTCCGGATAACAAACAAAACGCTTATCCAAATTAAACAAGTTTGGTATCAAATGAAAGAGGACTTAAATAGCTTTAAAACCGAAAAGAGGAAAGCCACACATTAAAAAATATTTCAATAAAAAATGTTAATTAATTACCATAGAACAAACATTGGGTCATGTATGTATCTACATGAATTTCTTTAGTATTAAGTTTTAAAAAAATATAAATAGAGGTGGTAACCTTCATTCGTTATTTCTGTTTAAAAGATGTTTCTGTCCTCTTTCATATGATACCAAATTTGTTTAATTTGGATAAGCGGTTTCTTTATTATCCGGATAGGACGTTTATTTCGGAATAAAAAAATATTAGGCCAAATTTAACTCGGAAAAAATAACTGTTCGGTTCCTGGAATATTGTCCAAGTGCACAGACGTATATCTAACCAGTCACAGAAGAAAGCATTAAAAATGGGTTATAAAAACTAAAATCGAAAAACGCTGATGACGTGACAAATTCCGAAACAACCAAAAGAATTTGAATGAAGAATTCTTTCGAAAAAAAACGGTGTTTAAACAACGATTGTGCCATGATGCTAGATTGTGAAGATGAAAGTCAGGAGGATACATCCGACATTTGCAGCCCCGATGAAATTCTCAAAAAGTAATTATTGCACCGCAATACAAATAAATAAATATAACTGAAAGTCCTCTCAAGTGGTGCAGTGTCAATCGAAAAGAATTTACAATTTTGCCAAGTTTCAAGTTTGTCGCCTCGAGCGAGTAGTTATTTAGTGGCGCAGATTTGATTTACGACCCTTCAAAAAGTTTTTATTAGGTACAATGTTCCAATTTTTAAATTCAAGTACTAAAAAAACATTCAGTCTTATCATGAGTTTCATTTTCCCCTAACCGGTTTTCTTTCGGGCAAAACTCAGAAAACTCAAAAAAGGCAGATTATTAAAAATTATTAACCTTTCCATTTATTATTTACCTAAATCACCTAATTTACCCACCTAAATATTTCTTAAAAACACATGACATCCGCATTCACATCCGCATCCGGATGTCTAAAATTCCACATTTGCAACATCTCTACTATAAAGTAAAGCTGTCAAACTATCGACATTTTCGATAGATTCAGTTCTTATGGCCTGTATGCAGCTCTCAAGAAAACGGTCTAGAAAAAATTGTCATTATTTCGTGTGTGTGTCCAAGGAATTTTGACATTTTTGATACTCCACAGCCTGTTGCCTCACTCTTTCCTCAAGAAATAATGGAGCGGGCATATATTTCTGTTGAAAATCTGGGTTGCATTGTGCTCTTTTTTCACAAAAAACTTTAGAAAACCGTAGTAGAAAGCGTAAAAAATTCCTTAAGAACTGCTTAAGAAAATTTCTTAGCCATTTCTTGTACGAAATTTTATATGGAGTTTTTGCTTTTCTTGAGAGCTGCATACAGGCCTTTACTATTGATAATATCGATGGTACCATCGAAATCAAATTGACATTTTTTGAATGAAAATTTCAAGTATTTGTTGGATTTTCGTAAACATGCATTGTATTTTAATATAAATATGAACCTTCTCGGCTTGGTATAAAAACGATACAAACACGAAATTTCAGCCAGTTTTGACTATTTTACTTTTGCTTGTTTAATGTTCATAAATTTTTTAAAAAAGTATAGCTCAATATAACCAAAATCGTAAAAATGCAAATTCTAATCTTTGTACAAAAATCAGCAAAATCAAGAGTTAAATAAAATTTCAAGCATTTTAATTGGAATTTCTAGAAAATTGTTTGGTATGCAATTTTGTAACCATTAGTATCTCAAACTACTAAAAATCCGGTTGATCCTAGAAAATTTCTTTTCCTTCCACATACAAAATTTTTCTAACATATGTATATACTAGGGCTGTTCAGAATCTTGTGCATATGCTCTTGCATTTGTATATTCGTTGCATTTGTAAATTCTCAACAAAAAAAATGCACACGGTTGCCATGACAGCAAGCATACAATTTGCAAATGCAATTCCAACTGCAAATCCAAGACCATTTACATAACATCCTGAACAGCCCTACTTTGTATGGTAGGAAATGCATAACATGGCCAGTAGAGAAAAACTATCAATAGTGGATAAAAAAAATCGATGCTAATAGAATTAAAAAACTATCGATAGCGCTATCGAT